CTGAACATGTTTACAGTTGAATCTACATTACTAGGATAACATTAGTGCTCTAGTATATATGGAGTTATCTGAACATGTTTACAGTTGAATCTACATTACTAGGATAACATTAGTGCTCTAGTATATATGGAGTTATCTGAACATGCTTACAGTTGAATCTACATTACTATGTTAACACTAGTACTCTAGTATATATGGAGTTATCTGAACATGTTTACAGTTTAATCTACATTACTAGGATAACATTAGTGCTCTAGTATATATGGAGTTATCTGAACATGTTTACAGTTGAATCTACATTACTAGGATAACATTAGTGCTCTAGTATATATGGAGTTATCTGAACATAGTTTAAAAATAATGAAAATGGGACAATTTGTAAAGGTATCTATTAAAACTCAGTTAAAACAAGAATTAAAAGTACACAATAGTTTAAAAATTGTTGAAGGCACCAGGACTTACCAAAACATATAAATGTTTCAGTGGGTCAAAAACCCACCATCATCAGGAAGAAAACACCTATTTACGGTGGTACTGCGACCCATTGAAAGATGTAGATATTTTGGTAAGGCCTGGTGCTTTCGACAATTTTTAAACTATTGTGTACTTTTAATTCTTGTTTTAACTGAGTTTTAAAAAATTATCTGAACATATCTGCAGGTACTTTCACATTACCCATTTAAAACATACTTTTGATCTGCATATAAAAGTAATGTTGTTGATGTTCCTAGACGTGTACACATCTCTCAAGCAACTCTGGATTTTCTTCACGGAGAGTATAAAGTTGAACCAGGTCGTGGGGCAGATAGAAATGCTTACCTGAGAGAACACCATGTCAAAACATACTTTATTGTTCCTCCTGCCCAGAGGAGGAAGGTAGCGTATCTTACTCTATATCTTACTTTACCATTTGGTTAATCTGTAATTTCTGTGTCATTTAGAAAGCTTCTTAGTTAACATAATGTAAACAAAAACAATTTATTTGACTTGAAACTTTAACAAAACAAAGGGTACTTGATGATATTCCATGACTCTGATTGGCAAAGTAAAATACTGAGAGCTGCAACATCATATTTCATGTAGCAGCAATGGAAAAAGCTATGTCCTTTGAATCTGCTCAAATGTCTGAACATCCAACAGAAGAAAGTAAATGGTGATTGGTTATATTCTATATGATTAATTGTTTTTCTGGTATTCTCTACTGCTTTTAATTGTAACAACCTTTTCATATTTTCCTTATTTTTATACACGATGTAATAACTTAATCCTAGTATTGTTTGTAGCACAATAAACCTTAATATTGGGATTAGTTTTAATATGTACTCATGTTATGTAGAATGCTGTTACATCATTAAGATTCAGAAAGACAGTTCTTTAAAAAAACTGTGTTGAAGAACAGTAAGACATTAGGAATATGAGTCATGTACTTATTTTAAATATAGTTATATGTACAAGTAGATATTACAATGTTCAATTTTTTATTTATTTCTTTATGTAAGTATATCTCTAAATGTGGACAAACATCTTAATGCATGTGTAGATAGTGATTGTGAGTATTTCTAGTTTTTAGTGTTTCATTTTAAACTGTAAATATTGCTGATTTATGCTTCGTGTTTGTATATGTGATTTTAGGCTACCATGTTATGTAACTGTGTAGTGGTGATTGTTAGTACTTCCTATCTGTACTTCATATCTCTGTGTTTGATTCTAGATAACCATCTTCTATGCCCTATCATGAGCTATTTGTAACATTGAATTTAATAGTTTTTTCCAAATCTGTCTCACATTTATGTGAAACGTATCCAGAACCATGGTACTACTATATTAAAATTCAAAATATTTAATTCTTAGGTTTGTATAGAGATTGATTACATTATATTAGAACAATCTTGGAGCTTCTACATGTTGTTAAAGTCATTTAAGTCATGCTCTATGTGAAGTCTGTTCATCTTGACAATAGCTTTGAAGTATAGTTTAAATCTCAAAAAAGTCTGTCATAATACTGTCATGTTCAAAGCACACAACTCCTTTGTACATGCTTTCTATAATCCATCTAGTGTACAAAGGTGTCAGTTTCTCAGAGCCTGGTTCAACACAGTGTGATCACACAGAAAACTGTAGGCCTGTATTTCTTCATATGTAATTGCATGAATACCCATTTCATTCTCCAACTGCTTAAGGTATGTGACAGTTGAAGGAGTAGCATGACTGGAAATCTTATCTTGGTGAACCTATACCCTGTAGGCTTCTTTTCCAGATGGATATCCTACTTGATTATGTTCCATATTGTTGCCTGGGGCACAAGAATGGTTTTTGCTACTGACATTTGTGTTCATGGATTTTCACCTGTTACAAAATTTCAAACATTTGTAACCACAGTTAGGGTATGACTTGTTGTAGATCTGTTTCTGGATGGTCCTGATACCCCAAGTTGTTCCTTACTTCTTTGTTTTTTAATTCCTTTAAGTACATGAGATACCCTCATTTTTTAAATTTCAAATCCTGTATTTGAACATATCATCTGTTACTCTTCCATAAGTGATCAATATTCAGTGGCATCACACTATCTACAAAATGGCAAGCTATGTCAAAGTTTTGTTCTGATACATGTAATTCCACTGAGACTTTAAACCAGCTATGATTGTCATATTTGCATATAATATAATGCACTCAACTCTTTATTCCTGTCTCTTACCAGTGAATTATTATAACTTATCTTTAGATATGCCATTACTTACTTCATTCCTAGCAGTTAATCATTGTAAACAGATTTGTTATAGCTGTACATCTCTGTAAACTGTAGCCTCTGCTGTTCAACACACTTCAGGCGTGCCACCTAGGAGGCTCCTCTCATCGGAAGATGTCCTTTAGGAATGTATCTAATGTGGTTGTCCAGCTACTTCATTCTATAAAGTACAGTATGGATGTTCCATTTTCCAATATGGCTGCAATACCCACCAGTGCTGACAAACAAGGCTCAAATAAGGTAAAGTTTCATTTATTTGTATAGTCTTAAGCCAGCTACCCTAGTTTAAGACTCGCACACAAATGCCACACCTACAAAAAGTAATCTTAAAGCAGGTAACACAAAACAGGATTTTTCTCAAGTGAAATCTGAGCTATTATAGATTCCTAGCTTGTCTGTTTCAATCTTAGCATCTGGAGAAGAAAAACTGGGTCCTCTGTCCTTAATTATTATTTCCAAAAGGGTTAGTTTTCTTGGCTTCTTTTTGGTCCTAACTTCAAATTTTCAAAATGATTAGTTTTTGGGGCTCTAATTGTCATAGCTTGAAATTCACTAAAGGACTAGCTTTCCTAGCTCAATTTGTTGTAGATTGAAATTCACTAAAAGACTCGCTTTCCTAGCTCAATTTGTTGTAGATTGAAATTCACTAAAAGACTAGCTTTCATATCCATTTGTTGTAGATTGAAATTCACTAAAGGACTACCTTTCCTAGCTCAATTTGTTGTGATTGAAATTCACTAAAGTACCAGCTTTCGTATCCATTTGTTGTAGATTGAAATTCACTAAAGGACTACCTTTCCTAGCTCAATTTGTTGTGATTGAAATTCACTAAAGTACCAGCTTTCGTATCCATTTGTTGTAGATTGAAATTCACTAAAGGACTAGCTTCTGTATCCATTTGTTGTAGATTGAAATTCACTAAACTACTAGCTTTCGTATCCATTTGTTGTAGATTGAAATTCACTAAAGCACTAGGTTTCTTATATTTAATTTCCTAACTGGACAGTGCGTTATAGTCTGTTATTAAAGAAAATTAGCCTAGCTATCTTAATATATAATGTTTCTACCATTTGTTTCCTGTGTTTGAGTAAAAGCATTAGATGATTGGTTAACAGAGTCCACTAACTATTTGTATGTATGTTGTGACTAGTTAACACTATTAAACTGGAATTTTTAAGTTTGTCTCAGTTATGGAAAAAGTAGCGATTGAGTATGACATGCCAATGTAAAAGTTCGAGGTTCTTATTCCATCAATGATAAGATAGGCTTTTGATATTAGTATTGACATAACTGTTTGAATTATTATTTGAACCTAGACAAATTAGTTTTTCTTCAGTTATTTTTACACGTCTTTAACAGACTGTTTGGATTTATAAATAAAAATAAATAGAAACACCTAGACATGCCCATTCTTGGTCAGATGTTAAACAGACTAGAATATCAGGTGACTCATTAATTTGTTATTCTAGTGACCTCTTACACAGATAATCTGTATTATTTAAACATGAGTTAGTTTTTTTCACACTAGTTTCAGGCAGCAAGAAAAAGAAGGGTGACTTCATTAGCTGAGTTTCAGAGAAGAAAGATTGAATAAGCCCAATTAATAAGAATTTTAATAACCTAAACTTCATGAGGGGGGGGGGGGTGAACCCCTGGTTAGGAACCACTGTATTAAACAATGTTTTTATACATTTTTTTTAAAACCATTCATTTAAGTAAGAGAGTGGTTTCTTTGTGTATTAAACATCTTATCTATTTCAGGGAACAATGGCAGATAAAATAAGAAAACCATTCAAGAAAAGGTAAATTTCTTTAGGTTTTTGTTTTATGATGTTATCTCTAAACTTAGAAAACACCTCTATAAATTTGTAGGTGAACACCACAGCAAAGTTTATTGTGTTGACAAATGTTGGTAAGAATGTTGTAGATATATTTTTAAATCGTAATATGAAAATTTTTTATCTCACATTAGCCAATAAACTGTAGCTTCAAACACTATCAGCTCTCATTATCAGTATCAGCTGGATTGATAAAGAATCTCGCTCACTGGAGCTTTGACTGTAGATGTGCAAGATAATTTGTGTTTTTTTTTGTATTTTATACTCTTGTAAACGAAGCTCTTAAGATTTCCTTATAAATATAGAATTAGAATTTTTTCTTTTATTATTATGTGGTATAAGTTATGGTATATAATGTTTTCATGTTACAGGTTATGCTATTACTAACGTAAATACCACTCTTATCTTGTAGGCTGAGCAGCATGAAACTCTTTTTACACATTATTCCATATCCACACATAATGATGCCCAAAATTGTATGATGATAATTCTCTATCAATGACCTTCAGTGCCGATGAAAACTGACATAACTACAACTTGCCTTAGTTTCCACCTACAACTTGTCTTAGTTTCGAGCTACAACTTGTCTTAGTTTCCAGCTATAACTTGTCTTAGTTTCCAGCTATAACTTGTCTTAGTTTCCAGCTATAACTTGCCTTAGTTTCCAGCTACAACTTGTCTTAGTTTCGAGCTACAACTTGTTTTAGTTTCCAGCTATAACTTACCTTAGTTTCCAGCTATAACTTGCCTTAGTTTCCAGCTGCAACTTGTCTTAGTTTCCAGCTATAACTTGCCTTAGTTTCCAGCTGCAACTTGTCTTAGCTTCCAGCTACAACTTGTCTTAGTTTCCAGCTACAACTTGTCTTAGTTTCCAGCTACAACTTGCCTTAGTTTCCAGTTCAATTTTATATTCAATTAATCTAGATGGTAGGAACAGTGTTGATGTAAAGTAACAGTGACATGTAGATGGTAGGAACAGTATTGATGTAATGTAACAGTGACATGTAGATGGTAGGAACAGTGTTGATGTAAAGTAACAGTGACATTTAGATGGTAGGAACAGTATTGATCTAAAGTAACAGTGACATTTAGATGGTACGAACAGTGTTGATGTAAAGTAACAGTGACATTTAGATGGTAGGAACAGTGTTGATGTAAAGTAACAGTGACATCTAGACAATAGAAACAGTGTTGTTCTAAAGTAAGGGTGACGTCTACATAGTAGGAATAGTGTTGTTCTAAATTAAGGGTGACGTCTACATAATAGGAACAGTATTGTTCTAAAGTAAGGGTGACGTCTACATAATAGGAACAGTATTGTTCTAAAGTAAGGGTGACATCTACATAATAGGAACAGTATTGTTCTAAAGTAAGGGTGACGTCTACATAATAGGAACAATGTTGTTCTAAAGTAAGGGTGACATCTACATAATAGGAACAGTATTGTTCTAAAGTAAGGGTGACATCTACATAATAGGAACAGTATTGTTCTAAAGTAAGGGTGACATCTACATAATAGGAACAGTATTGTTCTAAAGTAAGGGTGACATCTACATAATAGGAACAGTATTGTTCTAAAGTAAGGGTGACG